CCCCCTTTGTGCGTAAACAAAGTGGAAGAAGAGATCAACGTCGCTTCCCGCCCACAACTCCAATCATATTTTGTTGGGTGGAAGTGTTAGTGGAAATGAGGCCGTGGGATAGTAACATCTTCGTACAATTTTTGCTGGTCTTTCAAACAACTCCAAGCTGAGCCAGCAAAACGCTGTGATTGCGGCTAGGGGCGGTACAGGAAAGCAAAGGCACAGAGTGAAAATAAAGGGAGAGACGTGAGATTTAAAACTAACGGGAGACGCAGGAGCACTGTCATTTTGTTCCACAGAGGGAGGTGAAGAGCTGGACGCCTGCACATCAGAATCGAGCTCTTGATTCAGATGTTCTAGATAGCCAGGCGGGAGGAGGTCGATGATAGAGGCTTCAGCTTCCTTACAGAGTGCCTCAATCTCCGCCGACTGAGTCTCGGACGGACAGATACCCTGCGCTTCTAGCTCCTGTTTCGCCAGTTCTTCCTCCTTTGCGATGGTCTCTTCGTCGTCCTCAGACGCCTCAGAATCGGCAACATCAGCCTGAAATAAAGGGACAAAATATGTAAAAAAAAAAACTTCGGTCCAAATCTTTACTAAGGTTCGGGGTTCAAATTCGGGCGAAAAAAAAGTTAATTTGCCTTTAGCCCGCACAGAAGCGCTGCAAAACTATTTGCAATTAAACAGAAATGGAAACACTCAAATGAAAGTCCCACCCAGAATGATATATTGATAAGTTACTCGGGACACGTTAAGAGTGGTGAGCAAAGCGAACAACAGAGTGCCAATTCTCCAGAACTGGTGAACTAGGGAGAACAAAGGAGACTTGGCTTGGCTCCAGCAAACCGAGCGACAACACAAGAGGCGTTATGTGTCGTTATAGCCCAATTTTACCACCCTAGAGAGTATGCCAGCCCGAATCGGCTTGAAAAAAAAACAGCAGTTGAGGCAACAGGAGCTTCTCTTGCATGGAAAGACGCGTTTTGTAGGACAGAAATCGAAATTAAGCTGTTTAATTAATCAAGTCCGTGGTCAATCCCAGTATTCCTTGTTTGGTCAGATGCACCTTTCAATTCGGCCCACATAAGGGTCAACGTAAGGATATATTGGTGAAGGTATGGCGCGTTACTCCACTAGGTACCTGTTCAAGAGGTAATTAATTATTTCATTCAAGGAGGCATGATTTACTGCACTTTGCCTGGCAATAGGACGTGAAAGGGGTTGTGTGTTTAGGATTTCGAGTTGAGATTATGGTTTTAGGGCTTTAGAGTTGGAGTTTCAGTGAAAGGGTGTACATTGTTAGGGTTGAGGTTAGTGTTTAAGGATAGGTTTTCAAGTTAAGCGTTAGGGTTTTAGGGCTAGGCTTATGGGTTAAGGTTCGGATTGCAGTAAGTTTCGGTTAATCACATTGCCAACGTACCGTAAACTCCTTATCAGAGTCTTCATTAGATATGTCACTTTTTAGTGGGGTCCTCTGATCGGCTGGCCCTGAGGGTTCGGAGACAGGCTGTCCAGTAGTCGGTTCAGAGTCAGTAGTAGCATCTGGGTTGGACTGAATGGCTGAAGCGCCTGTGATGCCCTCCGTTAACCAGAGGGTGTACTTTTCAGTCGTCTCGATGACATGACCCAAATGAGTGTTCATCGCCTGCTGGTGCTTTGCTGTTAGACGGACCTTCTGTTTGGCTTGTACAATCTGGTAAGAGGAAATGGAAAGCGCACAGGATATGTTAGACCATGAAAGCGTACATCGAGGGAATCGCGAGGCTCTAGATGGCCACAACGTGAGGGTAAAATAGGGGAAGACGCACCTTATCCATTTGGCGCCACCATTCGCGCACAAGGCGTGCAATCAGGGCACACTGCTTACGCACACGAATCATCTCCTCCCTTTCGGCCTTATGTGAGCGCTCCGCCTTCTCACGGTGAACTTTTAGGGCGGCGTAGGCAAGCTGAAACGAAAAAAAAACAGTGATAAAAGTGGAAAACGCAAAAGAAGGATAATAACGACAGGGTGGGGAGGCTCCTTGCCTTTTTGGCGGAAACCTTCTTCCAATGGCGCTCCTTCTTGTAGTCCTCGGCAAGCCAGTGGAGTTCGGCAAAGAGGTAGTCCGAGTGATCCTTGGTTCGAGTCAGCTCAGGTGGAGGAGCGAGCGAAGAGAGTGAGGGTTTCGACTTATCTGCACCTCCTGCACCGAACTGAGAGGAGACATCCCGCGACCACAGGCCCCGCTGTTTTAGCTCCATTACTCGGCGGAGGGTATCAACTTCTTTGCGAACAACACTGCCGATCGCGGCTTCATCCAGACAACGCTACAAAGGGAGTTTACAGGTCTCAAACTCTACGAACTCTAAACAAGAAAATATCTGCTATGGAGCAACTTAAAGAGGGTATGGATAATGGAGCAAAGTGGACAAAATCTGCTATCATGTTCATGCGAAATTGAATGGTAGAAAAGGTTGGTTGCATGTTTAAGAATAGAAGTGCTATGTAGGATATTTCAGCGAGTGACGGGGAAACATTCCAAGGCAATTATGAGTCTCCTACAAGGTAAAGTCAAATTTAACGAGTCAGTCCTTCGAGTAGGAGCGAAACCAACAAAAACATGGTGAAGGACGAAGGTGAAGCGGGCCAGCAAAATAAATCAGCACGTCATAATACAAACGTCAACTGGAAAAGCATACATAGATGGCTGATGTAAGCTGGCACGTAATAAACGCGACATGAGAAAAAAATACCCAACCAGCAAAAAGATTTGATTGGCGAAGTTCACAGACAGCCTAGATTTTTTCAATGCGGAAACAGCGAAGGCATAACTCGGCGTTGCGGGCTTTTTCTGATCGATTAGTTGTGCTAAAGATTTTTCAGAAAGAAAGGAAAGATACCACTCCCTCCTTCACAAGTACGGAAAAGTTGAGTACTTTTCGAGTTCTTGTAAAAACTTAGAGCAAACTTCGCACTCTTTAGCGACATAGTAGCATAAGAGAAGAGGGAAGAATCAAGCGGCTCCCGAAATGTTTAAATGCGCTAATCTCAATTAACTGTTTTGAAATACAGTGAAAACATACACAAAAATCAAGGGGCACTACCGGACGCAAAATGTGCAGCTATGCCGAGTAGACAAAACAGCACACGATCTACTGTTCCAAACTTAGGCCTCCGGCTCCTCTCGATATCCGGGACAGGGGGGGAGGGGCTGTGGCCCGATAAGTAGGCTAATGACGAGTGTCAAGAGTTAAAAATACTAACTACGATGAGACGATAAGGCCTCTACACACCGTGTTCGAAACCGGTGGCCATCGTGCATAAATATCAGATGTCAGCCACAAACGACAGGAGAATACACACCGATTACTCTTTTGGCTCAGAAAAGTATATAGTGGCCACCGTACTGTTAGGCTCAATTAAGTGTTTACAGCTCACATTATTAGGCCTTATTTCTGCCACCGAGTTCTGAGAGTTAAAAACATTAGCAAGTCTTATTCAAAAACGGCACAAAGAAGCGAATACACTTGATCGCAGGCTCATACAAAAAGGCCGAAATAACAAACAAGCAGAAAACAAATACCTTATTGGTCTTGTGTGGGCTGTGATCAACGCATCACCACCTCTTGTTTCAACCATCCCTTATTTTCACACTATTGAGAAAATATGAAGTTGAAGGAGTTGTTAAACCTCACTGGTGGACATTGCCGGCAAAAATGAGAAGTGGTTTGATAAACTAGAGAGAAAGATTTTGCGGGGAAATGTGTCGCTGTTGGTCCGAGGCGGTATAAGCCATACCTCTTAGTAAAAAGGTGTAGTCTTATGGACCGCAGAAACTGCCATTAAATCGCCCAATCGCATGTCCACTAAACGAGCCTGTGATCGTGCCGATAAAAATTTAAAACAACTCTAGTTACTGTGCGCTTTACCACGTTTCGCAAAAACAATCTGAATGACAAACAAGCAACCGAGTAACAAGTTCCTAAAAGGCAACGACTTTATGTGACCTGTCGTCCCTCTGATGGACGATCGGTTCTATCTATTTTGGGAGGCGAAAATATTCCATGTAATCTCGATATGATTAGCAAACGTTCAAGGAACAACCGCATACGCTTGGGGAGGGGACGAATTGCGAAATAGAGACAACATAGGCATATAGCTTCTTTAACCACTAAAAGTATCAAAGGGGTGTACATGGAAAGGCTGACTGCTTACCTCGTCCTCATCCGAATCAGTCTCAGGATTATCTAAAGCTGTCTGGTCTGCCTCAACTGGAAATATTTCGTGAAAAGGCAGATACCCCGACACGAACGAACTGATGATATTGAGGTCTTCGGCATCCAAATGTCCTGAGCAGAGAGCATGCATCAACTCCTGGGGACGCTGCCGACGCCATGAATCAAACTCCGTAAGGAGTCCTCCGCCCTGAAGGTAAGCCAACTCAGCGATGAATTCGTGGTAATGGAGTTGAACATGTGACAGCCGTTTTTTTAGAAAATCGAGCAAGTTTCGCCTTGCCGTAGCCTGAGATTCGTTGCATCGGGGTAAACACAAAGCCAGCACCTTGTTAGGCGGCTCGTCTCCATCATTGTGGGCCATTTCTGAATCACTTCGCCACTGTAAAGACAACAAAAATGATCCAAATAAACCTCGAGAAAATGTCTGAAAAAAAAAACAGGTCAAGATACAGTGGTTCCATTGTCATATTCAGAACATTAAATAGGGTTTGCAGGAAATGCTATAGTCGCTAAAAACAAAAATACTGGTGACTTGACTAAGGCGGCGAACATTTTTGAGAAAGAATAGAATTCTGTGTAGGTAAATCCGAGTTCGGACGCTCAGCCGCGGTGGCATGAAATACATTTGTTATATGTCATTAATAAATTAAGTAGCAATGCTGTTTGGATGTTTCAGACACGTCGATCGTAGTAGTAACGGCCTTCGTCATAACTAATTCGGTCTGCTTCATGCTGAAAGTTTATCATTTTCCGAATGGCTGCCCTCAATTGCAGTCGGCGGGTGGTAGACTCGCGAGCCTTATTTAGTGAACTAACGCGCCGGCACCGCAAAACGAAGGCCGCACCGCCGGAAATGAATTCGGGATCAGCTCTCATCGCATTGTATGCCATTTACCGCTTCAACGCCATCGCCAGCCAGGGCGAAATTCGGGTAAAATAATATGTTGAATTATTTCACCCTTAGGTCAGTACGACACACGAAATAAGCATCTGAATTGGCAATTAAACAGGGCATTGTAGACTGATTTTGATTGCAAACGACTGCGTAGTTGCTCACCCAAGAATGCACGCAACCATTTAACGAATACACCCAGACGGCACTTATCTTCCGAAGAAACTGCGTTGACTGATACTTCGTATATCGACATAGCTCGCTCTTGAGACTGACCTCACGTCGATTATAGATGTTTAGATAAAGGCCGGTAAGGGTCGTTCAGGCCTGAATGATTCGGTGATTACTTCCACTTTTAGTCTGAGCACTTAGAAGTGGGTAGAAGGTCTTGACTGCCTTAAAAAAATTCCGGTGCATCGTGACCATACCGAGATCTCCGACTTAAAACCCTGAAGCGACTACCTTCGGTTTGAAAGAATGCATCCCCAAGTCCACTTCTGCCGTCTGATTTTCTGCAAAGCTAGCCAGCAACACGACGTCACCAGCGCAGTTTGTATTCATTATGCACTGACTATGACCTACTGTGTATGTGTGTATTCGACCATCGGTTTCGATTAAGTCCACCAACTGAACCAACAGGTTGGTACATGAGGTGACGGCCTCAGGGG